TCCGCTCCCCCCCGTTCCCCCCCTTCCTTCCCACCTAATTCCGCACTGTCGTGCTCGTCTTCGTCTTCTCACGATTGGCCTTCTTCTTTGCCCGTGCTCTCCCAGGTCTCGTCTATCTGTTTCCTTCTTCATCTCGGTGCGCTTCTTCCTTTGGTTCTTTTCGTTGCTATCCTCTGCTCGTTCCCCCCCCCTCCCCCCCCACGATTTATGCGTGTCATCTCTCCTTTGCCACCTTTTCTTTTTATTTAAGTATTTAATTATTGTGAAGTAAAAGTTATCGCCTCCTTCATTGTAGATTATCGTCGCCTCCTCGCCTTTTTCAAACGGAAAAAATGATCCTCCCTGAAATGGAGGTCCTGCCACTCGATGATAGGTAGCCGTCAATTTTAGAGATGAGCACATCATCCGTGAAATGGAGGGCCTGGCACTCGATGATAGGTCCAGTCTATTACCTTCTCGGCGGTTTTTGAAACGAAGACCTTGAAATTGAGATCCCTATATGATGGCACAATTGAATCCTGAACGTAAACACTTTGCCAACGTGGACGTGCTGGGAACGAAAACCCTAAGAAGCCTGCGGTGCCCGCGGCGAACGAAAACCCTAAACTGTACGGAGCCCATCTGATCCATAGCGCTCATCTGGTAAATAGTGTTTTTTTTTTTTTTTTTTTTTGGGAAATAGTCAATAATGCCTATCTAGTGAAAAAAAAAAACAAAAAAGAAACAAAAACAGAATAAAACTTCAAGGCGAAGGTGGGCTGTCGTGCAGGAGCCGTCAAAATTTGCCCAACCCAAATTTCGTTGACCCCTAAACCCTAAGTTCAGTTTTCGGCCCGTTGGGCAGGACCTGAAAATAGGGGATCCCCGTTAACCATTCGTGGAGGTATATAGTGCTTACATGTAGTAAATAGTGCCCATATCTGGTAAATAGATCCTTGCTGGTAAATAGTGCGCAATTCATAAGTAGCGCCCATCTGGCCGTAAGTTTGATCGAATGGCCAACGTTACTCAGCAAATTGCAAAACCTAAACCCTAAACCCTAATTCTGTGGGATACCTGTGGCATTTTGATGGACTGCCTAAACCCTAATTCTGTGGGATGCGTGCGGCATGTCCATGCACAATCTCTCAGACGGCTTGGCCACTCATGAGCGTCACACACCAGATAAATGGACCCACTTGATCCTAGCGAGATCTCGCTCGACTCGTTGCTTTCCCGCTGTGTAATCTTTTTTTTTTTTTTTTTTTGGAAAGTTGTATGATATATTGCAAAAGAACAATGGAACGAGGCCGGGGACCTCACAATTCAACACGGAGTTATCGTGGCAGCCTTAGCCAGTTTCGCTTACTGTAATCAATTGTGAATCACCCTTCTTCCATATTTGGCTCTGATAAGACGACACATTTTGTTTATCTGACTGCATCTGGCTCTGATAAGACGACACATTTTGTTTATCTGACTGCATCTGGCTCTGATAAGACGACACATTTTGTTTATCTGACTGCATCTGGCTCTGATAAGACGACACATTTTGTTTATCTGACTGCATCTGGCTCTGATAAGACGACACATTCTATCCACCCCCCTTTTCCATATTTGGTTCAAGCATATACGAACTCCCCCTACTCGTACACCCCCTCTTTCCACATCGTCCACCCCTTCAGCAGTCTCCGCTGTGTTCGACTCATTCTATCCACCCCCCCTTTCCATATTTGGTAAACCAGGGGCTCGCCGCTTCAGCAGCGTTCAATAAGCTATAAGAAGGCATGCGATAATCACACGGCTTAAAATCCGTGGACTCTTTTTTTCTTTCTTTCTTTAAAGGGCAACGGCGTTGAGATATCATCATTGAACTGAAGTATGTTCTTTTGTTTATCTGAGTGCATCTGGATTCGAGCTTGAGTCTGTATCTCAACAGTTCATGGGTGTACCAACTGAGCTGCTACTAGGCCCGTCGGTCCGTGAACAATTGTCTCGGGGTGACGTTGACACGTGACCAGTTCCACTGCCTGAACAATGGGTCGCCCTATGCGGTGGTAATGTAGACGGTTTTCTCTGGTTAACGTTGTCTCTGGTGGTAATTTAAACTCCGTCGGTCAGCCAGGCGTTTGGCGGAGCTCCTTAATTAATCACCTGCCAGTTGATTGGTCGAAAAAAAAAATCAGTTGGTTAATTGTTCGTCTGATGATTGAAGTGGTCAGCAGTATCTGGTCACGATTACGGCCAGGGTGGTTGGTTCGTATTAAGTAATAACCTTACATTGTGGGAGATCTTGTCCTACCGGTTGTTCAATAAGATTCAGATCTTGCGGTAGCAGTTTGTTGTGTGTGTGTGTGTGTGTGAGAGAGAGAGAGAGAGAGAGAGAGAGAGAGAGAGAGAGAGAGAGAGAGAGAGAGAGAGAGAGAGAGAATAAGAGATCGAAGGCCTTTCTTTTTCAGGAGAAAAAAAGGAGAGAAGGGTGTGTGTGTGTGTGTGTGTGCGTGCGTGTGAATAAGAAGAGATCGAAGGTGTCTTTTTTTTGTTTCGGGAGAAAAAAAAGGAAGTTGAATCTTAAACCAAGCAATAAAAGAGAAAGGGGAAAAAACTTTGGAACATCAGTCGAAGTCAATCGAAAGGCGGAAATTGTCCTTGGGGACATCCGTAAAATTGGAAGGATTTAGAGATAATTAGCACGGCCCCTGGGCATGGATGACGGGCATAGATTGAGAAATGGTCCGATGTTTTTGTTGAAATAAAAGCGAGGTATTGTATTTGCCTTTGCGATCACTGTAGCTTGGCACATTGCTTTTCTACTTATGGAAGACAGATTCTATTTATGCCAAACAATCATCTGTGGGGTTGAATGATGATGTTGGAACTTTTTTGATTTGCTGCCAGCCAATTCTCCACCTCAAAGGGGACGTTGTCGCCAAAGGGATAATAACGGGGGGCTTATGGCCAGTTATTCCTCGCACAGCACGCTTACGGTAAGGCCTGGAACATCATCAATAAGTACCTGTGTCAGCAGTAATAATCCAGTTCGACCTGTGACGAAAGATGGACCAGATCCATGGCTGCACGTTGATGAGCTCGCCGTGGAGGTTGAAGACCTTAAGAAGAGGCTGCAGGAGGAAGAGGAAGAAGCTCAAAGGCTTCGGGAAGAGGTAATGGGGCAACCTCTCTCTCTGTCTCTCTTTCTCTCTCTTTCTCTCTCTTTCTCTCTCTTTCTCTCTCTTTCTCTCTTCTCTCTCTTTCTCTCTCTCTCTCTTTCTCTCTCTCTCTCTTTCTCTCTTGCTTTCTCGGGAAGAGGTAAAGGGGCAATCTCTCTCTCTCTCTGTTTCCCTGTTTCTCTGTTTCTCTCTGTTTCTCTGTTTCTCTGTTTCTCTCTGTTTCTCTCTGTTTCTCTCTGTTTCTCTCTGTTTCTCTCTGTTTCTCTCTCTGTCTCGCTATGATTTCATTGGTTTGTTAAGAAGGATGAATTAGTCCTGTCATGTCCTTCGGGTCATCCGTTAAAATTGGAATGATACAGAGAAGATTAGTATGGCCCCTGTAAATGAGAAAATAATATTGTCATGGTTTTAGCATCTCTCTCTCTCTCTCTCTCTTTCTCTCTCTGTTCTTTGGTAAAGTTTCGGGCCCAAGGTGGGCCCGAGGTGGGCTCGAGGTCAGCTGGCGATCTCTCTCTCTCTCTCTCTGACTATTTTTCCCTTTGTGTTTTTGGAAGGATGAATCTTAGTGTGTTTCGATTGGCTGTCCATTTCTTTTTTCTTTGAGCTGGCTGGCCTTTTCTTGTTCCTTGCTGACTTCCTTTTCTTTCTTTTTTTTTTTTTTTCTTTCTTTCTTTTTCCTCATTGCAGGTGGATAATCTGAGGACTCAGGGTCTGCTAGTCACACCAGAGAAAGATCCGCCTTCGACTCGACTACCAGAGGACCTTCTACCCACTCCTCTGAAATTGGACACCGCGACTCCAACGAAAAAGGAGCTTGAGGACAAGGCCTTTGCAGGTGCAGACGAGGCAAGGCGCCAGGAGCAGATGCCTCACGTATCCACTCCTGCGCCTCGTACTCCGTCATGTGGGTCAGGTGAGAGACGACGTCCCGCTCCATCGTCTGAGCGGAAAGGTTCTGGGTGCTCTCCTTCCCTCAGAGAGGAGAGGGATAAGGAGAAAACCCCCCTTTTGAAGTTGGGAGGGAAGATGAAGAGGGAACGGGGATCGGCGGAGAAGGGATCGCGACAGTCGCGACAGTCGCAATCGGGCGGCGGACATCGAGCCACCCCATCGAGTGGTAATCGGGAGAGATTGGCTGCAACCCCCCCAACTGTGGAGAAGCACGTGTTCAATGCTGAGGGGGAAAGCGAAGATCGCAGCAGCTCAGGCAGCTTGGCGCTTGTGAGGAGGAAAAAAGGAAGCAAGGAGGGAGGAGGAGGTGGTTTCTCCATGCAAGAGGATCTGCATGATCTTAGGACTAAGTCCAGGGCTGCAATCCAAGACGCACAGAAAGGGGCCTTGGCGGCCGATGCAGTGCAAAGGAAGAGGGCCAGTATGAACGACAAGAACAGGAAAGCATCTATGGCTTCGCAGGGTTCGTTGGGCGGCGTCGAGTGGGATCAATTGGACCCTGGAATGACAGGTGGAGGACTGGCTATGGAGTTGAAGAAGGAGAGGAAGACGGTTGATGACAATGGAAGTGATAGCTTGGGGATTCGACCCTTCGCCGACATTACAAACGAAACCTCACTGATGTGTTGGCTTCAACCAGGCTCGGCCTCGCCGAGCAGGTAATTCGTGTTGGCTTGACTTGAGACACTTCTTTTTCTTTCTTTTTTTTCCGGCTACATGAGTGGATGGATGTCGTCGAGGCTCTGATTTGTCAATACTGCAATTATTCCATGTCAATTCACCGGCCAGCAGACCGGCAGCGAGATGCCACCGAACTCAAGGAAGTAAATTTTTTTGCTGGTCGAGCATACTTACCAGCTTGCCTGCTGATGCCCGTGGATTATTACGCTTTTTTCCCTTTGGAATTACGGACAGTTGCACATTTATGCTTATTGCCAAGAGCTACGGACGATTTTTCTTTCATTTTGTTTGCTGATGCTTACAGCCACGAGCTGTTTTCGCGTTGTATACGTTTGGCGTGAAACTGTGTGATCAAGTGTGACATGCTTTCATTGTTCATTGTTGCCAATAACTATCTTTGGGGTGGAGTATTTTCTTAAGTCGTCAGTTGAATGGTCTGTTGGTGTCGTTAACGTTTGAATTTTGAGAGTAAGAAAAAAAAAAAAACGTGGAAAGTACATCCATTGCTGTTTTTCCACCTTCGGTAAATTAGCCATTGGAGTCATAATAATAACATATTATGATATGATATTCATGTCAGTCATAGCATCGTATGTAAATTTTCCGATTTGTTTTTTTTTTCTTTTTTTTCTTTTTTATTTTTCGATTTTTTTTTTTTTTTTAATTCTATTTTAAAATTTTCGATTTGTTTGATGCCACTTTCTCAATTGTTTGCATGTTGCGTCATGCTGCTCCTCTCCCTGTTGGCTTTCCGTATTGTGTGTTGTCACAAATACTCAAAAAGATTCAGTTTGACACGGCTTACCGATTTACTAGATTTTTTTTTTTTTTTTTTTTTTGGATACATTTTAAAGTTGTACGCATCTTCACATAATGTGAGCTTTGCTGCTGTTGCAGTTATTTCTTTCTGTCTGAAAGTGAATGATGAGTGATGAGTGATGAGTGATGAACATGGTGATGCTGATGGTGGCGACGGTGGTGGTTGTTTTGCGGTGACGTTGTTTTCCGTAGCATCCAGACGAGAAGTGAGTGTGCACAGGACATCCGACGAAGCATCAGCAGCACGCCCAGGCCAGCAGAGGGCCCATGCGACGTGGGAAACCAGAAGGCAACCATCCAGACTTCCATGCGGACCTCTGGTTCTTCCGCGGACATGTTGAGGAATTCAGGTAACATGGAGTGTGTACCAGGAACCACCACTCCCCCACAAACTGGACCAGGTGTTGCCAGGGCCTGTAATCCTGGCATGTACGACTTCATGAGAGCAGCTGCGGCCCGTGCGGCGCGCAGGCAGATGGAGCTTGCAGCAGCTCAAAGAGACGGCCAAAGTAGGAGCGGACAGGTGGCTATGGCGGCTGCTCGTTTGCCTGATACCATTGAGAAGAAGACGCAAGAGGAGCCGAGAATGTCGGTGCCGGCATATTTCGATGGAGAAGAGAGACGTGGAGGGGGGAGTCTTCAGCTCTCGCCTCGCTCAGGAGGATTCTCCCTTGCACAAATTACGGGCCCTGCGAGCCCAGCTCCCCTCTCTCCTGTCCCTCGTCAGAGCGATTGGGCTTCGCCCCAAGGTGTCAAAGAGAATCTCCAAAGTCAAGAGCTAGCTGAGCAGATCCTTGCAGCAGCTCAGGGAAACAAGGAAAGGCAGGTGGTTGTTCCAGCTGGCTGTCCTCTCAGCAGGGAGGGGGAGACAGAGCAGCATTGCGAAACAGAAACCTCGTCGGCCTGGGCCTCATACATGGCTGCATTTGAGAGACACATGACTGCATCCATGAGGAGCTTTTCAAGATGGAGAATGCTGCAACCACTGTCGAACCCCGATTCTTGCCAGGGCTCGATCCCAGAACCTTGCCAGGAAGCTGGTGGGGGGAATCACGAGGCCTGTCTGGACGAGAAACCCGGTCTGATCGCCCGACTAATTAGTGGGTCTGGCCTTGGGCCTGGACAGAATCCTGGGATTCCCACCACGGACCAATCGTTGTTACGATCTTCAGGACAATCCTCGGGCCATCTAGAGAGCCCGGGAAAGCACCAGAAGTCTGATCAACAGCGTGCCACGCGGACTCAGCAGCAGCTGCCTGCTACAGTTAACAGATCTCAAGGAGGAGGAGCAGGAGGAGGAGGAGGAGGAGGAGGAGGTATGCCCCTCGCTTGGTCGCCGCCTGTCCGAATCCCAGATTCTTTTGAAGGAAGCCCCAGAGCAAAGGCTAGACGCTTGCTGGACAGGGATCAGTACCAAACTCAGCAGCAGCACAGTCAGAACCATGGTCAGGATCAAAATCAGAACCCCAATGGGAATGCCTCTCAAAAGAAAGCTGTATGTCTACCCCCTGTTCCCAGATTTGCCCTTCAAGGAGGGGTATCCCCTTCGCAAAACCCCTATTCCCCAGTTACCAGGGAGCATTTCACCACTGTGCACGCGCGCTCACGAGTTGGTGCCTCTGGCGATGGCGAGGGGTGGTACAGACCTCCATCGTCATCTCCGGAGATCTTGTCTCCTTGCCCACGGCGACCCGTCTCGCCAAGGACAAGGCTCATGGATGCTGAATTGGTGAGAGCCACGTCGGGTGGAAGAGGAAGGCTTGAAGAACTGATTAACGATGCTTGTGATCAGTCACTTGATTCCAGCCCCGAACACGGGATCTGCAAAGGAACAGAGATTAAACGGCAGATCGAATTCAGCTCTACTAAGGATGGAGGGACGCAAATCGAACAGTCGAGAGGGATGGATGTGGTAGGGACTGGGAGCGTGCGGGGTGAAGCGAAGCTAATGGGCGCAGTGGGAATGGATCGGCAGGCAGCAAGTCCTACTAGACGAATGAGTCCACGTGGTAGAGGGGAGGAGACCAGTAGGGCAGCAGACGAAGATGAAGAGAGAGGAGGGGGCAGAGTAGCCGTGCGTTTGCCGGCAAACCTTACTGTTGACGTTAATGGCAGTTTTGGAAGTGGCAGTTTGGCCGGCAGCACAGGAAGCCTTATGCACAGCCCATCGGAAGACGAAAGGCCACCCTGTCGCTGGGCCAGTCACGAGGAGACAGCCAATCCCCCAGAAGGAGGGTTGTCATCTGAGCGCAGAGCAGCAAGCAGCAGCCCTCGGAACCAGAACCCTAATCGTGGGGTCCACATGGAAGCAAGCTCAAGCCTGCAGCAGAGGTCAGGTCAAAATCGGGAGAATGGCAGGGGTAATAACGCAAGGGATGGGGAAGGGGATGCAGGGACAGGGGGGAGCAGCAACAACAGGACACTGCGGGTGTCTAGAATAGCGGCCGTGGCGGCCGCAGCTGCGGCGAGTGCAGCTGCAAGTGCAGCAGCAACTGCTGCAGCCATTGCCTCTGAGGGTGTTGATGAGAAAGAGGAGCACAAGTGCCCATTTAAGAGCAACCAGTCCAGACGTTCATCCACGGGTAGCTCGGCAAAAGCAAGAGGTCCGTTGGGTGCAGCAGCTACCGGTAGCGCGACAGGCTTGCCTCCGAAGTCATTGTCCAGGTCGTCGTCCCTTCCACCTCGACATCATTACTTCGAAGCGAAGTTGGATGGCTCCATGGATGAGGAAAGCGGCACGCTCACCGCATCCGTCGCTGGTGTGAGTACTAGCCAACCTGGCCCCCACTCTAGGTCCCTTTATGGGGCCAAAGGCTCTGTGGGACCAGGGCAAAGGGTTCGTGTGAGTGGGAGTTTGAAGCTGCAACTTGGTCAAAGTCAATCGCGGGCGGGAATGGGGGCAGAGTCAGTAAGTGGAATGGCCCAAGCCACCGCACGGGAACGGAGACTGAGGGAGTATCTGAGCATGCATGGTGAGAGAGAAGCAAGTTTGGCAGATGACAGGGGTTTCCACAGTACCAGTGGGTGTGGGAACGTCGCTGGATCGAGTCGTAATGATGATCACATGCCGTCGAGTCCATCTTGTGGAAAAGAGAACGTGGAGGGAGGGTGTGACATGTTGGGCTCCTCTGCCTCTGGTAGTGCTTTTCTCCCCTCAATGAATGCTAACAGCGGGTTGCCGAATGTCACAGGAGCTCAGCGTGACAGTACTGTATTGAGAGAGTCCTACTCCTACTCATCTGCTGCGGGCATGGAAAGTGGAAGATTGAAGCCGTGCCAGAACCCTGTGCCTCCTCAGCAGCAAGGGGGGCAGAATGGGCAAGGTGGAGGGGGTCATAGGATAAGGCCAAGCGGCAGTGGGTGTAGAATATCCCCGACCAGAGTGGAAGACCGACCCATCATTGCGGGTCTGCAGGATGATATGCCTGGTGATGCAACACCGCTAAGATTGAGTCCTGGCGAATGGGACGGACGGGGAATTCCAAATTCCACGACAAAGTATCGTGAGGTATGTATACATTTTCTGCCACTCGTCCACCTTCTCTTGCTGTTCGTTCCTTGCCCTCCCACTGCTGGATTGGCTCTCTCCTTCCTCACTTTTCCTTCTCGTCTCCACTCTCTCCCTCTCTCTCTGTGTGTCTCTCTCTCTTTCTGCGTCTCCATGTGTGTTGCCACCTCCCGGCCTTTTTCATCCACTTCTCTTTGTGTGTGTCTCTCTTTCTGCTTCTCTCTCTGTTTGTCTTTGTGTTTCTCTCTTATTCACATAGGCACATGCGCACATATCACCTGGTTGCTTACCTGGTCTCTTTCTGTTCCTGTCAACGGCAAAAAAGTTTGCTCATGACTCTCTCTCTCTCTCTCTCTCTTTGTGTCTGTCTGTCTGTCTGTCTGTCTGTCTCTCCCTCTCTTTTTTCTTTTCTCTTCTTGAGCCCCCTGTCCAGTGTTGCTCAATGCTCTTCCCACCCATGATGTGTGCTTTCTGTGGTGCAGGAAGTTGCTGGCTTGCTCCATTTTTGGCTGAGTACAAAACATATAATGGATGGTGGAATTGTGAGAATTACAAGCTAATCAGCCCCCTTTTTGTTTGTCTGTTATGCTTTCTGTGGCTTCGCCCAGGACCAGAGAGTCAAGTACCATGCCACTCCATTTGAGGTGCGGTTAGAGCGAAAGCTGGCCGAGGAGGATATTCTTGCTAGGTATGGCCCCTGTCCTCTGTCGACTTTATAATATTCACATAAATGCCTGATCCTTCTTTGACTGCTTCTGAGCTGTTTTTGCGGACTTTGGGATTGCACGAAGCTACTTTGGAGTTCCACCCAGCAGCAACATGAAGGGTTGGCTGTTTTGTCATCAGTGTGTACTGTTTTATCATCAGCGGAATATGCCCAGTGGAAAGAAACAAGAAGGGTAAACGGAGGAACATGTGGGGAAAGCTCTGCCGAGTTGTTCTGTCCTGAAGGTCGGTAGACAAAGGGGGAGTCTAACCACAGTCTGCAACTATGCAGAAGCGGTCAGTCTAAAGACTCCAAAGAGTATTTGACATTTTGGACATTGTCCGGGAAGGATATTGGTGAAGGTGCACTGATGCAATGGACAATTAAGGCAGCCTGCCTTCACGAGATCATGGTTTCAGTATGCTGCATTGGATTTTGTGATTTAACGAGTAGAAACCATGGAGACAGCTGCTTTTCAAGTTTGGAATTGGAATCGTTTTGATTATTGTCTTGTCAGTTATGGTCACCTTTTTGTCGTTTTCTTGGGATCAAGCTCGTCAGATGGTTCTTGCTTCCTGGCCCCCATCCTCCCCATTCCCTCTTCAGACTCTCCCCCGAACTCTCCGTTCCCCCTCCAAACCCTCTGAACTCTCCTCCCTCCCCCTACATGCTCTCCAAACCCTCTCCCCCTCCCCCTCCACACGCTCCTCACCTTCAAATTCACTAACTTTGGCAAATCTTCCACACTCAATGTGGCGACTGAATCTTTACTATCTGGCATTTGCAGGGGTGTAAATGCGTAGGGATGGAAGGTCTGCTCATCTGTGAATTAATCCACATTTTGCCAGAGAAGCGGCACCGACACTTACCTACAAATGGGTAAAGCCAGATTTGTTCCAGAGGATGTCTTCATCAGAATGCACGGAAACTCCCTGTCGAAGACTCAGCGGCGAGGCGATCGTAAGAGCTTTCGCTCACACAAGGTGTCGCCAGCAGAGATCTTATTGTCTTCAACTGTTGCGCCTTCGAAGCAGTACCAGAAAGACGTCTGTTCGAGGAAATGCTGAAGGTGACAGCAATTCCATTATTTTCAGACATTTTTTGTACAATCTACGCTCCAATAGGGAGGGAGGCAACTCTGTATTGATATGTCAGCATATATGTGTTGTCGTCAACTGTTGCGCCTGCGAAGCACTGCCTGAAAGCGAACTGTTCGTTGAAATGATGAGGATGGCAGGAACGAACTCTATATTGGTATGCCAGCATATATGTGTTGTTGTCAGCTGTTAGCCTGCGAAGCACTACCAGAAAGCAAACAATTCGTAGAAATGCTGAGGATGGCAGGAACGCCTTTCTTTCCAGACAGTTTTTGTACAATTCTACGCTCGGATGGGAGGGAGGGAGGCAACTTTGTTTTGACCGTCTTCGCCTGGTTTGTCCTCTTCCTTTGTTCCTTTGGGGACCACAGAAGGAAGCACATATGTGTGCCAACAATGTTTTCCCTGGGTGATGGGCATCTGGATGTGTACGTCTTCCATAGCATTGGGCTCCGAACGGCCTCGGCCTGCATATCAAGAGTGGTGGGGACCACGTATTGGTGGCAGTTAATGGTAGTGAGTGGGAATGTCCCTGCTTTGGGCTTCGAACAGCCTCTGCCTGCCATATCGAGAGAGAATAATTCAACTTATTTCATGGGAGTCGAGTGAAGGTGGTGGTTGGTTTGCGCGGTGCGCTTAAGCGAAGCCCAAGCGGAGCAGGAAACCGTGTTGATGGTACGTTGTTTTTCCATTTTCGACTCAGTGTTAGTGGTAGATCTAGACTCTGGGGATTGTGCCCAAGCGTAGCGGAAACCGGTGTAAGTGGTGGTCCTTGGCAGTCAAGTGTACAGAGTGGTAGGGACCACGTATTGCTGGCGGCAGTTAATGGTAGTGAGTGGTGGGGACCACATTGCTATGTGCAGAAGCCTTAGCCTATGCTCGGCATTGGGAAAGTCAGGAACCGTATGATGTCGCTGAAGCGATCTCGGCCTGCTGGTTGGTGAAAGGAAAAGTAATCGCGGCCTGCAAATGAGGGGAAACTCTGGCTATGCAGACCACAACCTGCAGGAAGTACGGAGTGGTGGGGACCACGTAGTGGTGGCAGTTCATGGTAGTGAGTGGTGGGGACCACATTGCTGTGTGCAGCATCGTTAGCCTATGCTCGGCAGTGGCAAAGTCGGGAAGTACGGAGTGGTGGGGACCATGTAGTGGTGGCCGTTAATGGCAGTGAGTGGTAGGGACCACATTGCTGTGTGCAGACCACAACCTGCATCAAGAGGGGATTCCTTCTCGTAGCTGAACCTGCCAAATGTAGGTTCACCTGTTAGTCATGATCTGAAATAGTGTATTGCGAGGGTAAAGATTATCTGGGGACGAAATCAAGGCATGCTCACACTGGGGCTTCCGGGATGAATGTGTCTGCAATTGCATTCCAGTACGTCCATGAAAGTCCTCGTGTGAGTATGCCACTGAAGTTGAGGAGGTGGGTCAGTTGGCCTTTCGTCGACTGTGAAGTTGATGTGTGCTGCATCTAGGTCATCAGAGAGGGAAGCTGTCTTTGTTGCTGGAAGCATCCCATCACGTTAAGTCCACCCAACAGTTTTGTGACTAACTGTTTGGCAAATAGCGAGCGGTCAGGATCTTCTCAGCTCGTAGAGGATAGATAGCAAGGAGCAGGCATATATGTTCTTTCTTGGTTCCTGAGTGGTGTGGGCAGAGCTAGCAAGGAGAGGGCGAGAGGGTGCTCTGGGCACATGATGTCTGTCTGGCCTCGATGCTTCACTCGGGTGATGAAAAAAGACAGCGGGAAGCCTTGGGTGCTGATGGCGGAAAGTCGGCGGTAGATGAATCGATGTGTTGCTGCGGGTGCAGTGACTTGCAAGGATGAGTAGTAGGAATGTTAGCTGTGGAATCACAAGAAATCTCGCATAGATGGCAGTTTAGGTGGACCCCCCTCTTAGCATGGAGGGGGTGACGGGCGTAGATAGTGGAGGCTCTGGAGATGGAAAATCTGCACTCATGAATCGGGAGGTCCTCATGTGCCAGACTTTCCTAATGTAGCATTACGAATTTGGAAGAATGTTGCCTTGCCCTGGGAAGGACCCAGCTACTAGGTAGTAGAGGGCAAATCTTCGAAGATGAGGTCCTCAAGTGTCATAGAGGGATGATGATCTTACCTTCCTTGTGCTGGTTGACATGAGTAGGGAAGAGAGTATTGTCGAGCTTGGGAAAGCTTGTTGCTTGCCAGGGGGGAGGTGGGAGGCGCACATCCTTATCGTAAATTATCACAGCTGTTCGATACACGAAGAAGAATGTTGATCGGGTGAGTTGCTCGGTGTACATCAAGGTATGGAGATACCTGCCCACGAACGTAGTGCTATAGTCATGAATTCAATTCAAGAGGGTGATGGTGAGGGTGATGGATTGGAAGCAGGTTTAGGAAAGGAGTGTGAGTGTGTGAGCGGTGTGAGCGGTGTGAGCAGTGTAAACGGTGTGCACGTGGAAGAGGGGTTGCTGTCTATACTTGATGTGAGCGGTGGTTGTCAAGTGGAGGGAGGAGGATGCATTCTCAGTGTGAATGAGGAGGAGAAGGGAGCAGATAGCTTGGAGGGGAGCAAGGAGGTGATGTTTGCTCCGTGTAGTAGCTTGAGGGAGCGGGTAGCTTGGAAGAGGGGAGCAAGGAGGTGGCGTTTGCTCCGTGTACGTAGCTTGAGGTAGTGAGGGTGGACGAGTGGAGGGAGTACGAAGCAGTTTCGGTTTCGAAGGGCGCGAGGGAACATGGAGACTTTCTCAGAGAGCGGTGTGATTTTAGCAGGGGCGAGGAGGGGAGGGGGGGGAAGGAGGCATCAGACCTCTCCGTTGTTCAGCGCTGTGGGGAAGGTTGAGTGCATTAGCATGATATGGTTTGAGCAGTCAATTGTTCCAAAGGGTAGAGTGTAGAAGGCTGTTCGAAGAGGGTGGCAATGATGCGTGCTGCTTGTTGAAGTTGAAGAGAATGAGGGTTGTGATGCGAAGGGAGCATGAAGAGAGTGCCAAAGTGCAAAGGGCAAATTGGGAAATCCTGGCATAAGAAAGCTCATTGAAAAGATTATAAGCTTTTCTCTCCCCATGTGAATGAGAATGGAGAGCGGGAAGTGCAGGTTCCTGTTTTTGCAACTGAGGCCAAGAATTGTGTATTCAGTTTGTCATGCCTCTTGTGATCGGGAATGTAGAACGGTCCACAGCTCAGGCAATCAGATGAAGTTTTTTTTTTTTTTTTTTTTTTTTTTTTTTTGTATGGAACAACTGGGGCAGCTGTGATTAGCAAGTGAAGAATGAGGATTACTTGGTAAGTTGGTATCGTTATTGTTTATCGAATTTTTTGAAATCCAGCAGCTACAGAGTAGAAGTCGTCGTCCTCTTTGCTACCATGTTGTGTTGATGATTCTTCTATCTCTGAGCTTGATTGAGTTCAATCGGTTCTCACATACAAAGGTGGGTGGAATTTGCTTTGCATGTAAGAATCCTTGTGGAATACGTAAGAAAGGATTAGGAGTACTCACTCGTTAAGGGAGGAGGAGGTTATTGCAATGGGGCCTTAATTAGGCTGGCTGCAATGCGGGCTGTCACCAGGAAATGGCTTGGGCTTTCGAATGACGAAGGACATCTATCCGTCAAGGAGTGGGTATTTTGATGGAGGAGGAGCAGTTTGTGATGAAGCACAGCCCCCATCGAGGAGGAGCCGTCTGATTGGCCCTATGTCTCCGTGGCCAGAGGTTATTGCAATGGGGCCTTAATTAGGCTGGCTGCAATGCGGAATGTCACCAGGAAATGGCTTGGGCTTTCAAATGACGAAGGACATCTATCCGTCAAGGAGTGGGTATTTTGATGGAGGAGCAGCAGTTTGTGATGAAGCACAGCCCCCATCGAGGAGGAGCCGTCTGATTGGCCCTAATGTCTCTGTGGCCAGCAGCAGGAAGGAGGAATCCCTCTGAGTAGTCACATCTCTTACGTCAGCTGCGAAATGAGCGACAGCGTAAAGACGACATATCTATGGAGGTACAATCTTGATGAGGAGAATGCCTTCTGCTGCTGAGGTAACCCGGCTCCATCCTGTATCGATTGGACTTGCGGAGCAAGTTTTGCCTATATCTGCAACGTATGAAACTTTATGAAGACATTCGTTAAAATTGGAGAGTTACGGAGCAGATTCGTATGGCGCTGGTGCTTTATTTTTTTCTTTGATAAGAAAAAGTGAAGACTTCAGAAGCAGTATTCCATCCTGTATTGGTCGGACGCGGAACGGAAGCAGCATTCCATCCTGTAATGGCCGGACGCGGAACGGAAGCAGCATTTCATCTTGTATTGGTTGGACCCGGAATGGATGTTGTGGCGAAGTAGGCGATACAGGAAGAGGACAGGTGTGTGAAGATTTGGGAATTCGGCTCCAAGGATTGCCCTTGGTCTGGCTGCGCCCACACGGAAATGTATGTCTTGCGATTTTCGGATTGCTATGAAGATTCTCGATTATCAGCATAGCAGCGCGCCCTTTTTTTTTTCTTTTTTTTTTTTTAACACTCCCTCTAGTGCTAGCGGTGCTAGTAAGAGCAGAGACACCGCTAGCACCTTGAGGAGAGGCTCCATCTATTGCTCTTCCGATTGGAATTTCGGATCCATTTGTTGTGTTTTTAACTGTTTTTAACTTGTTGTTTCACTTTTTTCATGGGTTTCAAGTTCTCTACTTTTCAGCGTCAACCTATCGGAAGCAGAGAAGACTTGGGGGTCTTTTTGGTGTTTTCCTATAGAGTCGATGCTTGTGGCATTATTTGTCTCCTCTTGCTGCTGTAACTCTCGGCTGGGAGAATACAGACAGAATGATATTAATGGCCATAGGCATAAAAAGGAAGATTGATGACTTGTCTTTCAGAGGGGGACTCGAAAGAACGTATTCCAAGGAATGCTTCTGCCAGACATGAAAGAGTATTTAGATTATTTATGATGAATGAGTCGACGATAAATACAGGAAGGAGACGGGACGCCCACTTCTTTGCGTAAGAAATATCGGCTACATCAAGATTTGTAATGTAGTCGTCCACTTGTACGAGGATAGCAATCAAATGCTTAGAGAGTCATTCTTTGCGCACAGCAGTTTTTTTGTTCTTCAAGATTCTTTCTTTGGCTAACAAGTCGAGACCTCTGGCTGAGACTTTGCCTGTAATGTGTTTGGCATGCTCCATCAGACTTTGCTATGTGAATTAGTGTTCTTTTGCAGTATGGATTATGTCTACAAGGCTATCATCATAAAAATCGGCACTAGGGAGGCAGCTCGGTCGTTGCACAAACGCTTTGTTCCCTAGAGAAAAAGCAACACCTTGTACGCAAACGATCACACCTACTCTCTGGGAGAGAGAGAGAGAGAGAGAGAGAGAGAGAGAGAGAGAGAGAGAGAGAGAGAGAGAGAGAGAGAGAGAGAGAGAGAGAGAGAGAGAGAGA